CAGCCGTGTCTGCGTGCCCTAGGCGTGTTTTTTTTTTTCCCGCAAAACTTCTTGGGCTTCTCCAGCCGAAGCGCAGGTGCTTTTCCAGTGCCGCTCCGTAAATGGACTGACGGCCCTTGAAACTTTTGTAGGCACTGCTGAATATTCACAACCCGTTGTGTTTGTTTTCCCCAGGGGAGATTATCTACGATGCTGCAAGTTCTGTTACCCGCTCTGTGCTTTTGTCATCCTTGCTGCTTGTGTGGTCGCCTGTGTTGGCTTAGTCTGGATGCAGGTAGCTCTCAAGGAAGATCTGGATGCGTTAAAGGAAAAGTTTAGAACTAGTAAGTATTGATGTAACTATAGCACTCAGACTTGCCTTGGACGTTATGAACTGTTTCAGTGGCCTGTATGCTTATTCAGATCGTTGAAATATTAAGCAGATGAAGTACTCCTGACTCAAAGAGTTCCCTGAGACAAAATTATTTGCCTCGTTTGTCTTGAGGAACTTGCCTCAAAGAGCCTGCGGGATCTCAGGCAGGTATCATATGTGCTTGTCTGTCTGTGCTTCCTGAGAGGAGCAGCAGCACTTGGCCAGGTGGGCCTGAGGTGGCTTGCATGTACTCTTATAAATTCCTGACTTTCCCTTGGGAATGCCCTCTTCCAAAGGGAGTCCCTACTGAAAAAGTACTAGTTGTTCATGTAAAAATAGTCTACAGAATTTTGCTGCTTTTCTGTAAAGTTAATAGAAAATATTCTGCCTTGTCTTGAGCTGTTTTAAAGACTTCTAATATTTCTGCATAGATAGCTGTAATTTAAATGCTACTTCAATATTGCATTTTTTTTTCCTGTACATCTTTCTAATACCATCTTGCACTGGCCCATTTTTATTTAACTTTTGTCTAATGCGTTGTGTATCATGTGTAGAATTTACATGAAGCTTTCTGCTTGCTTGACTTGGATTTTCTCTGTGCATGTTAGATATCAGGACTGTAACTGCCCCTATAGTGCTGAAGTATAACAAACAAACAGTAAAATTTGCATGTAATGTGCAGTTGGTTCTCTATGATTCACCTCTGGAGAGAGATGTTTTGGTGTGCTTTATTTTAGTGGTATTTAAAAATCCTATATATTGATTAATGTGAGGGCAAACAGAAGAGGTTTGTGAGTGGAGCAGAAGGTAGCAAGGCCAAGACTTCTCTAGCCACTTCAGGAAAGTTAACTTGTTAAGTTTTACCCAAGGAGCATCATTGCTGACTGCAGCTTTTGTCCTGTTAGTTCACTTAGAACTTTGTGTGCTGGACTTGGAAAAAATTACCCTTAAAAATATGACCAAAGCCCTTGAAATTGATTTTAAAAGTATGAGGAAGCTAGGGCTGAAGGTGAGGAGAAGGCATGATGTGCTTTTCCTAGAATATGATGTCAAAGGAGTATGTTTAGATGTTCTTTGCTGTTGGAGCCTGAGGCATCCTGGTAAGGTACATAGTGTTGCTGAGAGCGATGAGTAACTGGTGACTGATCCGCCTGCCAAGGTGGAACCTTCTGGCTGGTTAGAAGTGTGGGAAAGCCCTGCTGGTAGTTGTGCTTTTACACTCAGCTATACCCAACTCCTGAAGAGTTAGTTATGCCTGGAATCTGCCAGTTTGGGAAGACACTTTCAGTTACAGGCGCTGCCTTGTGCCCCTGACTGTGCTGAACAGCTCTGCTCTTCAGTAGCAGGTTTTGCCTTGTTCTGAATAAGCTAGCTGTTGGTCTTCACATTGGTCTATTTAAAGCAATAGCATGTACTGGCAGAAAGAGTTTTGCATGATGATGGTGTTGATTGGCTTCAGTGTAGTTAAGTTGCATCATACCTGTTGTACATAGACCTCTTTGTTAAAGAGTTTGCTTTGAGCTTACCATCCAGCAGTTACAGTCGTGTTTGTCTTCTCCTTAAGAGCAGTGATAGAAAAAGAGTACATTTAATCTTTCAGATAGTAATGAAATGGTCCCATATTTCCTTGTCACTATAATAGTTGTGTCTGAAAACTGTGTTGGAACCGCACTGAGACATAGCATTAAACAAGAGAAAAACAACCAACTCATACAGCAAGAATAACCTGGTTCCAAAATGTAACCTCCTACTTCAGGGAAGCAGATGGGTGGAGGGAGAGATTAAGGTGCCCAGATCAGTTTCTGCTATGGCAGGTTTTGAAAAACATCATCTTCTCAATCTTCCTCTAAAGTCTTTCTTCATAAGAAGTTTACCTTGGCAGTATTTCTTTGTATTCTCCTCTGCTTAGAACAAAGCAAGTATGGTATGAAAGCTTTATTTATTTATTTTTATACAAGACTTCTTTGCATCTGGTAGTACAGTTAGAAGGGTAAAAATTACTGTAGTGTTTCCATTCAGTTTTTAAGTGTTGCTCAGAAAGTGTTTAATAATGCACTTTCCAAGTACAGCAGAAAACTCTGAGTAGGTTATTGAAACATATGGTGATGAGCACAGTAAGAGTGGTCTTATGGAAGATGTTTGGTACACAAGGCTCTGAAATCTGACAAGGAGCCACCAGATTCAGTATGAACTCTTGTGGAGAAGGTACACAAATGCAGAATCAGCTCTCAATCTGTTTCAGCTAAAATGGACCTTGTTAATCATCTTTTCAAGGTTACACTTCACAGAAGTATTGTTTGGCTTTTAAGCTATCAATGCCTAAAAATATCTTGCAGAATTTGCTTCATTAAAAATGAAGTGTGTGTTTTGAAGGTGCATGTTCCTAGTTATGTATTTACAAGAACCCACAAGCCTAAAGGCATTCCCCTTTGACCCTGTGGATCACACATGGATGCTTGTGCAGGGAGCTGCCAGCTGTGTATTGTGTAGGTCCTGCTGCTCTGGAGCACTCCAGCTCTGCGTGGGCGGGTTGGAGTTGCAGGTTGGGAGAACCCTGTCATCTCCATCTCCAGACCTTTGCTGACTCGTTTCCTCCCAGGCCTTGGGGTTTAGCATTGCCTAATAGCATTTGCAGCTGAACAGCTTTGTCACTGCTGACCTGGAAGAGTTGCATTGTTGAGGCTTGGGCCATGTTTCCCACTTCAGGTAGTATGAACTGACTTTATTTCCAGGGAACTTGTGATTTCTTTTACCAACAGACTTTAGTATGTAAGCTTCTGCAGTATTTTCTGAAAGTAATTTAATTGTCTTTGTCTCATGGGAGAACTGTAATCACCTTAATCTGTTTGGAATTCACTTTATGGTCAGCAGCCCCTTTGTAGGCTTGAAAAGGGCATAAAGGTTCACTTCACAGGCTGCCTTTGCACTAGTACTGTTGGCAGTTCTTATTTATAATTCTGTTACTATTCCATGTCCTTCTGTGGCAGTAATACAGGATAAATGCACTGCTTAGCTGTTGAGGGTTACCAGAATGACGGTACTATAATATGTAGCTTGCAAAGTGTTAAGTTTAGTGCAGTCTCTACAAATACAAATGCTTCTTGGACTAAAAAACAGGTGCTGCTCCAAACAAGCATCTTCAGAACAGGCAATGAACTGTTGTAGACTGTGTTGTCTTTGATTGTTGTGGATATGTAGATGCTGCTGCTTGTAAAGTTTATTGCCTTTACAGGATTGTTTAGCTGGACTTCTTTTTTTCTTATTTTTAGTGGAATCTAATCAGAAGACATCATTCCAGGAAATTCCTAAACTGAATGAAGATTTGCTGCAGAAGCAAAAACAACTAGAACAAATTGAGACTGGAGAGCTAGGGCTAAATAAAATTTGGATAAATATTACAGAAATCAATAAACAGGTGAGAGGAATCAGTGTCTGACTTTGAAAAAGTCGAAGTGCTCACTTCAAATTTACTTGTTTATATAAAATGTAAAGCTGCTAACAAACTTGAGTACTGTTTTCATCAAGTGTAGTGCTGAGCTGTTCTCTAAGGACTTCTGCAAACATGTGCTAACTTTTCTTTTGAATTTAAAATGGGATTTTACTCTCACTATTAACAAAACAAAAAAGTAGAACATCTGGTTGCACTGGACCCTGATTACAAAGAGGAGAAATTAAGCAACTCATGAGAAGGCTTAAGGCAGAGTTTAAAGGAACCTCACAGCTTTACAGTTCTCTAGTTTCCTGATATTTGACATTTCAGCTCTGAGGAGAGTATCTGCAAACACTTTTCACGAGTGTGGAAAGAAGCTGCAAGAATCGGACAATGAAAACTCAGAATGCTATACTGATGTTTTGTGAATCTGAATTGTGCTCATGCATACTCAGAACCTGAGGAATAAGGAAGGGTGTTGCCAGCAGGTTGAGAGAGGGGATCCTTCCCTTTTGCTTGGCCCTGGTGATGGTGGGTCTGGTGCTGGCCTCCACAGTGCAAGAGAGATGGGGGGCTCCTGCAGTGAGCCCAGCCAAGGCCAAGAAGGTGGTTAAGGGACCGGAGCATATGAGAGTGTTTTCATATGAGAAAAGGCTGGGGTTGTTTTGCCTAGAGAAGGCAAGACTTGGCAGAGGATGGAGGAAGCAGATTTTATCAGTGCACGTGAGCATCTGAAGGGAAGGCACAAATTTAGACTGCCCCAGTAACAGAGGAAGGACTGCCCAGTGGCAGAGGGTTGCACTGAGTGATCTGCAAAGGTCTCTTCCAACCTCAGCCATTCTGTGGGCTGGTGTAAGTCTTAGCTCTATTTACTGGGGTGGAACTAAGCCACCTAACAAAGTTATTTCTTCAGATGGTGTGTGTGTTTGTGCTCCAAATGGAGCACCCAGCAAGGCTCTTCCTGAAGTTCATGCCTTGGAGAGTAGAAGTTTGGAGCTGGTGACTGTCAGGAGGTGGGGAGGGATGTGAGACAGAAACAACAAAACTAACCCAAAAGAAAAAAAAGAAAACCCCAAGCCAAATAAAACCCTGCCTGCTGTTGGTGCTTTGTCTTGAAATCTAAAGAGTATTTAGGTACAAGAGTATTTAAGAGTATTTTAGTACAGGGGTGATTAGGTGTTTAATGGAGCGCACAAATATATTTGAAAACCTGAGGCAAGCAATTGTTTTCTTTTGCTTGTGACAATATGTGCTCTCCACAGATACTTATGTGCTTAGTAGGACTTTCAAAATGCTGTTGTCTGCACCTGGATGTTAAAGACCTTTGGCACATGGCTCTTGCAGGCTCCCAGTTCCTTCGGGTTCTGGTTACAATCCGATCCAGCTTTTCTGAGGAACAAAACTTAGTTACTATTTTCTGTGAGTTTTTGGGATGTACTGTTGGGAATTGAGTTCAGCCAATATTCACAGCTGTGGAACTAGAGATGCTACAAGCCAACTGGACCAGGTTGGCCTATTGTAAAACAATTCCTCAGCTTGGGAAACAACTGCTGCTTCCCCAAAGAAAGAGAGTTTTATCTGTTCTGCTTCAGGGCTGTCAAATGTGAGAAGAAATACCTGTCCATTTATTTCAATTACTAATGACTGTAAACTGATCTCAATGATAGCTTTAGCAATTAATGAGCAACTTGTAGCTGCTTATAGTTTAATTGGCAGCCTCTTGGCACTGAACTCATCCATTATACAGTTTCTTGATTTTCCACTTCTATTGCAAAGAATTTGAATGATCCATGTACTTTGTCTGCCCTTCACTCACCCAAGAGAGGATAGAGATAGAGATCTGCATAGAGAAGTTGCATGGCTTCTGTTGAGCAGGTGTGATTGCCAAATACATGACGTGTTTCTTCCTTTTAAAGGTGTTGCACTCTTTAAATTTTTCTTGGGCAACAGCTTACACAATAGTACTCCCTATTGCAGAAGCTCTTCCTTTTCCCCTTCTGTTTTTTATTCATTTTTTGAGGAGGGCAAAAATAAACTTGCTCCAATTGTAAGAGGCAAAACTGATCCCTAATATAGTTTAAGTAGGGCTTCTAACTTACAGAAACAGAGGTGTTTAGTGTTTCCTTTTTTTTTGTTTTGTTTTGTTTCTATGCCAGCAGTTAATCTACTTTTGTTGGGAAGGTCAGAATCAGAATTCTTGACTAATTCTAATATTCCTCTTTGGATTTAGGTATCACTATTGACCTCAACAGTCAATCATCTCAAAACCAGTATCAAGTCTGCTTCTGATTTGATTATTCTTCCTGTCACTGTAGAGAAACTCCAGAAGGCAAGTAATGCACGTGTGGCTATTTGCAAATGCATCCTGTAGCACTAAGCTGCAGCTGGGCTGTTTGGGACAGCAATAATAGAAGTTACTTGAAATTCCTGTGTGAAATATTTGCTTCTCTCTTGGTTTTGCTTTTCATATATTTTGGATAATCCTAAAATAACTTATGGCAGATGAGAACTCAAAGCTCTTGGCTCTCCCTTTTTGGAGATGTGTTTCTGACTGTGCAATGTTGTCGCATCTTCACCTTGGAGATGATCTTTCTAATTGATATCCTTCAAAATTTCTCATCCTCCCAGAAGGTCTGTCTGCAACTCAGTAATTCTGAATGTGAATAGGTATTGTGTTTAAGTTTTGATATTTCGTTGGCTTGTTTTAACAGAAAAGGAAACAGATTGGTTTTTGCAAAGTGTTTTGAACTTGAGCAGTGTAGTCCTCTGTCTGACTCTGTTTGTTGTCTTGAGTAAAGCAGAAGTCTAAAATTAGGAGTAGTTGCCTGGCATTCTAGTATTCAGCATGTGCAAAGTAAAGATAACGCTAATGTGTCTAGGGTACACAACAGAAATCAGAATATCAGTTATATATGTTTCTTTATACTAACAGTTGTCAGTGATGTTCCTCTAAACTAGAATAGTGTGTATTTTGCCATTCCAAAATATCTCAGATTTTCTTATATTTTAAGGCTAGTCTGTTCTAAACTTTTTCTAAAAATGACAAAAAGCTTTATAGTCTCTACTTGCAGAGCATATTTCACCATAAACTGTGGTAGGATTTTTTTTTCATATCATCTCTTGAAAGAAAGGCCAAGTGAGTGACAGAAGTGCACTTAAAGTGACTTATCAAAGATCTGGCTTATTTATTACAGTTAAAAAAAAAAAAAAAAAAAAAAAGGGGCTTGCTTAAAAATTTCCAGTCTCCCATGGCAGTTTTTTTTAGCAAAAAAAAAAAAAAAAAAAAAAAGTTGTGCTAATGGCAGCCCATTTGTGTTTGTGGCTTTTTCGAGTTTCCACTTATCATAATTTCTTGTTGCTACAAAATTAACACATACGAACAAGCTAGTTCATATGTATCTAATATGCTAAGTAATTAATGTGGTTTGGCCAGTCAGGCTGCTCGGATTTCTTTTTGAAGAGGAATATGGAGCTGTTTCCTAAATTTATAATTTACTGTTATGAGCATACTGGATCTTTTATGCTGTCATTTCAGAGGTCTGTCTTAAGGTATTACTTGAAGTCCAGAACCTGCACCAACTTTTACATACATATGGAAAAGAATGACAGATTTGGTGTCATTTTTCTTGCTGCCTTTAGAATAGTATTAGCAATACAAAGCAGTCCTAGGGTCAATAAGTTCCATCATGCAGTGACTGCCAAGTAGGTCATGTTTCCTGTTGAGATAAGTCCATCTTTGGTCACATTTCACAGAAGTTGAAGACCTTGAATATAGTGTTAGAAAATTTGAGTTGGAGTCTCTGCTGCTGAGCCAGAGTGTGGTGTTTACACTCCGTGATGCTGTTTTGCATGTACACTGGAAGGCTGATGTAATAAAAACTCATCTGGAATCTTTTCAGAAAGTATGCGATGAGATATTGAGCATAGGAAAACTGTTCCAGGGTTTCAACGCAGCAATTATAAAGTTTAAGTTTTGTGTTAAAGCAATAGGTTCCAAAGAATCAAGCTTCTTTTGACTTTTGGTAGTGTGTGTCCCCCCAATGCCTTTAATCACAGGAGAATGTCCGAGGGTGTAGGTGGTAGCCTGTCCTTTGATAATCCTGGGGAAAATGTCTTGCTCAACTATTAACTCTATTCCCCTGTCTTTGCAATTGCCTACCTCTTTTGAAGAAAGGCTACTCCTGTTGAAATTGGGCTTTCACAAGCCTTTCCCGAAGACAAAATTCCTGAAAATATGGAGCTGCTGATATGAGTGTCCTGAAGTATTGCTGAGAGAGTTGCCCTGGCACAGACATTGGGTTCTCAAAATAATGAAAGCTGCTAAAGACTTCCTGAGGTCCCTTGGGACACAGAGATGGTGTGTTGAACAACGGCTCAGGCTTGGAGAAGATGGAGCTGGAGGAAGATGTGTAGGTGTCATTTAATATGTTCTGGGCAGGTAGAGAATCTCTGAGAGTGTCCTGAAAGCCTATGGATATAAGAGGGTCATAGGAAGACTGGATTTTACATGGGTTGTTTGTTCTAATGAGAATCCAACATTAAAAAACAGGGGAGTAAGAAGCATAGAGGTGTGCTCTGTGTCTCAATACATTAATTTATATGAACCTGTTCATGGGTGTTTTAGCTGATAGAGTCTGACTGTGCTGGGTGCCATGTGGTCATCTAATAAACTGCAGCATTTCAGAATAATTTCTAAAGTAAAAGGCAAAAAGGAGGATGCAAATGGGTGAAGACAGAGGATGCAATAGCCTAAGGAAAGGTAGCAAACCATTATGGCTGTAGGTGCTGATTTTGTGGGGGTAGAGGTGGCTTTCCTGATACTTCACAGTAGTTCTTTCACTTTAGAAAAGTCAATAGTTGCTTGAAATCTGATCAACAATCTTTGGGAGAATAGCGACGTGTCATTTTTAGAGAATGTTAAAGCAGGATAAATGGAGGTTGACATCATATTTAGTAAAAATACTGCCTATAGAGAGGGGATAAACTGTCTTTAAGTCAGCATTTTTATTAATGAATGTTTACATTGCTTTGGGAATAGCAAACACACCATTTTGGTTATCTAGGAAAAAGAAGATATTTATATTTATACACATGCATTCACTCACTCTGAAGGTATAAAGAGTGTTTGTTCATTTTGAGGCCCTGAGCTGTGGTGGGTATAATTGGCAGCTTTTCATGCAAAGGAAGCTCTGAATGCTCCAACTCAGTTGCATATTTTTGTGGCAGTCTTCTTATAGCTTCTTTAATTATTGTGTTTAGCTGATTGCAACTTTGAAGTGGAGGAGCACTGAGGTTTTATGTCTACTCCTTTCTTCCAGACGGTAGCAAACATAGGTAGCACACTAACCAGTGTTTCTCATGATGTTGAAAATCTGCAGACAGCAATTGAAGAATACAAGAAATCCATAGAAGCACTCCAAAATGATGTGGTAAGAAAATGTGCTAATTTAAGCCTGCATCTTTAAAGCTTATCTGTCTAATTAGAAACAAATTTTAAAATTGCATGAGGTTCTGCCTTGTGCCAAAAATACTTTGCAAGTCTGGGTAGGGGCTGGGTTGGTATGTTAATCTCCACTAATCCCATAAGACCTGTGTGGCATCTGCTATAAGGTACTAAGTATGTATTTTTTAGAGCCAAAAATCATTGATTCCCATTGCAATTTTCATGATGCAGATTTGTTGCTTCCCACTCTGCAGATGTGGAGCTCTTTGTTTTGCAGGATGCTGCTTATGGTAACTATCCACACTGCCTTAACAACAGGGGATGGTAAAATTGTTTAGGGATAGTTTGTGGAGCTTCTGGTAGCATTAAGGGTCTGAGCAAGGAAGAAATTAGTGACAGTCATTACCAGAAGTTACTTCCTGCTTCTACCACTTAGGGTGAAAATACTTAATGGAAATAAAGTAAATAAAAAAAGAATTCTTCAGTTAAGCAACTCTATGGGATTACTTAAAATATTATTTTTATCTGCAATTTTTCTTGTATGTTATAAAGCTCGACTGAGTTATGTCTGCAGTGAATGCTGCAAAATGTTGTAGATATGACAATATGTATAGTAACAAAGAAATGTGCATCATAAAACTTCATTAAAGGAGGATAGCTAATTTGGGAGTTGTTTTTTTAAAAAAAAACTACTTTAGATACTAGGTATTTGAAGGAGAAAAATTGCTCTTCTCTATTTTCTTTAGTTAAAATATTGCATGTATTACAAATGTGAGCTTAGTAGTTGTATCAAAACACCCTTAGCTATGATCTTCCTGATCTTAAAAGCTTAGTGTTCTGTTACAGATATTTGGTACATAACTTTCTGCTTCTTTCATTAGAAGGAATTAAAGCAGATGCCTTCGCTTCCTTCCATCGTTACACCAAGCACTCAGATAAATCAGACAGAAAACTGCAAACAGGTATTTTTCCTCCTTGCATAAGGAATATTGGTACAAGTACCACTATTTTTGATAAATTATAGTGTCAAAAAAGTAGTTTTGTGAAGGCCGAATGCCAGTGACGTTTTTCAAAACCAAGTGCAAGATAATTTTATTGTAGTTTGTTCCTCTGTATGTCTGACAACATGGTAGTGTGGAATTACTTTCTGTGTGCTTTCACTGGGTGAGGAGTAGGACTGCCGTGCCTATCAAACAAGATATAGATGTACTTTGCTCATGTAAATGGCAGTGTTATAAATGACTTTATATTGAAAGGGGTTTATGGTAGGTATTTGGTGATCTGAGCAAATCTGGGAGTGGCACGTGTTGAGTCACCCTCAAGGTGACTAAGGCACATAAAGCAGGACTTCAGGAAGAGAAAATGACTGAGTGGTTAGCTGGAATGCCTTGGAGTGAAGTATGGTACATTGATATATATATGTGTATATATATGTGTATATATATGTGTATACACACACACATATGTGTGTTTATATTTAATATAGTCATTTTTTTCCTCAAAAGTGAATCTCTTACCATAAACCCTGCACATGGTTCTTTGGGGAACCAAGTCGTTTGTACAGTTACTAACAAAGCTTGACCTGGAAAAACGAATGAATGGGCTTTGTGTGTTGTTTGCTGGCACAGTTGAATGGATTACACTAGCAGCAAAGAGATTAGCCCTGAGGAAAATTTCAGTTTCAGACTTTGAAAGCTGGAATAACTTCCTTTAAGCTTCCAGTTGGATGGTTTTGGCAGTTTCTGTGGGAAGCCGGTCTGAAGTCTGCCAGATTTAACTGGGTCAGTCATTATCTTGTTAACAGCAAGAATGTTGCACCAGTTGAGTAAACTCACGTGTTCTGGTTTTATATTTTAGGAAAGCCAGTCCCTGCATACAGTTTTGGAGGAGCTAAATAATACTGCAGTGATGTACCAGAAGTTGAATGACATAAAGCTTCTACACGTGGATTCTGCCATTGGTAATCTAAGCCAGCGGGTTACACTGTTGGAAAGCTCTCTGGTTGCTGTGAATAACTTGGACAAAAGAGACAACTCGTCTACCAGTGTGGTAAGTGTTTGGTATCTGTGGGTATCTGCTCAAGAAAGTAATCTGAATACTTTCCATATGGTAAATACGTAGCTTTTCAAAGCCTAACTGAAAGAAAATCTCAAAGTGAAACTTGAGAGGATTAGTATTTCATATTAAAAGGCCAGAAACTGCTTTATCTGTTTAAAAACAAGTAGCAACATTAGGAAAATCTCAGAAAGTCATTTTGTCCCTGCAGAAGTTACAGAAAAATGCGCAAAACACTGCGCAGTTGCCCAAGTCTTAAACTTTGCAATGGGAGAGGATTCACAGACCTGTTGAACTATGTTGGGGAAAAGCACTTTGACATGTGAAGAGTCTGTTAACGCCAGTGAGGCGTTAAATGGGCCTCTGGATTTTTCAGCAATCAGTACTTAAACGCTCAAAAAGGATTTAAATATTCTTTTGGGTCCTTCCAGTGTTTTCTGTATGCCCTACTGGGATTAATCACTGAACATTCATTCTGCAGGTATAGCAACAAGAAATATGCTGATGTTGCTATGGTAAACTACATAACCAACTCTTTCATAGTATTTTTTCTAGTTTGCATTTGCTCTGCTTTGTTCTTGCATCATGCCCACCAAAATTGAAGGAAAACTATAAAACAGTAAGCAAATGAATAAACTCTGCTCTTCATTTTTTTTGTAGAATGATGTAACTACCTCTCTAAATGTGGAAAAGGAAGATCAGCTCAACAACGGAATTCATTCAGATAAAGAATTGAAGGTAAAATAAGGGAAAATTCTGCTGGATTAGTAGACCCTGCCATTGTCTTTATAATTATTTCAAATAGGAATTAATTGGGGAGTAACCTGTAAGCAAGCTAAGCCTGCTTAGGCAGGTGAGTGAACTAGTTGCACTATCAGTTCTAGGCTTAGGTTAATGGGACTACGTAATAAGACAAGCTCAGAGGGCTTTAGGAGTTCTTAACTCGAACTATAATCTGTAACCCACTCAGAGAATGAGCAAAAGATCAGTCCAGATGCAGAATATGGTAGGTTTGCTTTGGGCATGCGGTAGCTCCTACGTCAGTGTATTCAGTGTTGCAGGCAAACGTTTGTAACAACTATATAATTCAGTTAATGTTTTGACTGCTCATTCCATGTACATTCATGGTGATGGATTTATTAGGAGTTTCCAGAATCCTAATAAAATGTCACAATCTCATGTATGTGCAAAATTCAGCAAATTCTAAAGAATTACTGTACCTTTTCAGGTTGAGGTTCTGATTCTGTCGTCGTCTTACGAACTGTGTGAATTTGTTCTTTCCATAGTGTGTTTGTGAGGTTGTTTTGTTGTTGTTTTTCTTTTTAATTTTTAGTTATTTAAAACTTGATCAGTCTGGAAATTAGAAACCCATTGAAAAGTACAGACATGCCTAAAATGAATTCTTTCTGATTTACATGAAGGGTTGTTCTTAAGAAAAATATTCTCTACATATGCAGGAAACAGGAATTAGAAATTCTCAGGTATTAAAACTAAAAGAGGAGCTTCAGATGATCACTGCTCTCTCAGTCAGCAAGTCAGCAAATGACGGATCTGCTGAGGCATCAACGAATGGTAAGAACCAAATGTAACAGTAATCCCTAAAGCTGAAGTTTCATTATGTAATTCAAAGAATATTTAATGAAGGTAAATAATTCAGAATGTTTTCTTAAGAATTTGGTGAGGATTCATTAATTCAAAGTGGTAGGAATGTAGCGCCTCTAAAACTGAAAACTCTGTAGTTTGAAGACGGCTTTCTGTTGCGTAGTAGGATTGACGTGTGTTATTACTTGTATTTAACTGAATGTATTTGAAGGCATATGGTGATTAAATGCTCGATTGTCAGACTCATCAAAATATGTCAGGCCATTTGTGAAAGTTTGTCCCTGGTACTGTTATCTATTTTACTTTTTCAAAAGCTTAGTGTAACAGAGGAAAAGTCTAACTTTGCATTAACTTACCTCAATTCTGCACATTCTGCTGTCTGTATTTGGACAGTGCTGAGGATGAGAAAACTCAAAGCAGTTTGCTGCATTAGAATTCTGCTGTTCTTTCATTAATTACCAAAATCAGAAGTTTGCACCTCACTGGAAGGATAGTTAATGTTAGAATTCCCTTTGCAAGATTACTCTTACTGTTTGTCTATAATAATTGCTTGTTTGAGGTATAGACAAGTATTTTTTCCCTCATAGAGGGGGGAGAAGATAAAAGCAGCCCCAGGTGGACAGATGCACATTAAATTAGTAAAGCTTGTTGAACACTTTCTGACTGGGAGGTGCCATTTTCCAAACAACTATTCTGTGTATGAGGTGTACAAGCATATGTTCTTTCCTTCTGCTCTTCATGCTGTTGATGAGACTGGGTGGCATCCTGCTATATTTCTGCTAAACGTTTTCACACCATTCTTATCCCATACAATGTTGTATCCACAATGCAAAGTTTCTTAATTTTACTGGCTTTTTGTTTCTATTACTTGAATTCTGTGGCATTAGTAAGACTAATAGAAATTGTTTTGCAACAGTTGGAAGTAGTACGACTGCTACAGCAAAGCCCACAGACCTTCCAAGGCTGACTTCAAGGTCAGCTGATGACAACAGAGAGAACCAACAGCTGAGACGTCTGTCCTTACCAGGAGTATCAAGCATACAAGGTTTGTCTTCTAACCTATCCTTTTCTTTCCTAAATAGTTTGCCTAAATGCTTAGGAGGAGGTAAGTGCATGGGTAATTATGGAAACGTGTCAGTACAGATTAAAAAAAAAATCAAAACTTTTGAGAAGCTTGGTCTTGTGAAAAAGGAGTGGAGGAAATGGACCCTAGCCTGTAAAATAGAAGAAATTATAATTTACAGATGAGTGTGCACTAAGGTGAATTTTAAATGTTTCTCGTTCGGAACTATTGTGCCAAGTGTTAAAGCAAAGATTGGAGGAGTAATTAAGAGTTGAATTAGTGCTGAAGGAAAATGAAGTAGGTGTGGGTGTGCAGTAACTTTTTTTTTTTGAGAACTGCCTGGAATGAATGGCTTCTGGATCTTGCTGTTCAGCCTTTTCAGCTGCTAAAAGGGCAATGCTTTGCACCAGGAAATGAATAGACACTTTTCCCTTACATGATCTGCTCTGTTGGTATAGCAACAGTCACTCAGAGCTTGCTTTTGTGGAAGACAACTGCATCTTTATGCAGCTAGTGGTTATAGAGTGGGTTATTAGTTGTGGGCTTGAAATGGAGATTATTTTTCCAGAATAACTATAATTTAATACATAAATCTTTGTGCTTTTTCTCCTAAACTTTTACTTGCAGCTTGACACAACACAGAAGGAAAGCAACATACTTGGAGATGCTTTATATAACTTAACACCTAATGCAGTAAAACTGGAAGAGCAGCATACAGGATATTCTTGTGTGCTTCAAAAATTACTTTTAAGGCATTGTTCTCTTTGCAGATCTTCAAAATTGGTTTGAAAAAGCAACTGGTGATGCTGATGGAAAACTATCCTATGAAGATCTTCAAAAGCTACTTGATTTTACAGTCGAAGAGTTGCAGAGCTTTAAGAAATTTGATGCAGATGGAGATGAAAAATACTCATTACAAGAACTGAGATTAGCTTTAGGTGTATAGAGTATTAAGAAATGTAATACTGATGGATGCTACTGTAGCTGAAGGAAACTACAGGAGATAAAAACATTGTCTGCACTTTCTCATTTTTTTGAGCTGAATTACTGTACACATTGCCACTCCTTCATTTGTGTTTGATAAAAAGAAATTTACTAATTTAAAGTAGATAGGATATGATATTGGGACTGTGTCAAAATCCAGAAATATCCCAAACTTACCAGAAACATTTTCCTGTCACTTTTCCTTTCCAAAGGAGCTCTAGGTTTTTAATTTAGAATGTGTACATATAAAAACAAACCCATGGTTTTCTATTTCACTGAAATTTGCCTTAAATTAGAGAGCTGCACTTTATGTAGAGCAGAAAGAAATCTGTCTTGTAAAGATGGGCTTTTTCTGCTTGTAAATATTTGAAATAGAGTAAATTATGCATATTTAAGGAGAAGTTTCTATTGGGACTTGTTGCTAGTAAACATGTTTATTAGATAGACTGAACCTAAACTGGGTCATTGAGAGCTTCAGCTAAAGTTTTAATTTTGTTTAAGTATGTCCTTGAATGAGTTTGGACTCAGGTGGAGGAAGGTGGGGCTGGTAAATTATGCCCACCTATAGCAGAACTTATTTTTAGAGAAGGGGTGAAAATTTTTATATCATGAGTCTATAGGAGCAATTACCTACCCAGCACTTGGGTTTTCACTTCAGCATTTCTTTTAGCTTTGCTGTATTGCATTCAGATTGCCTTTTTGTGGTTGTTGCTTTTTGAGATGGAGATGATAATCAAAAATATTGGAGAACTTTAACAAATGTTTAAGAGGTAGAAGTTGGCAGAGTGGCTTGCTGAATGTCCCCCAAATAGTTCTCGTCTCCGCTGTGCAGAGGCAGGATCAGGAGTGCTCTTGGTTTGCTCACTGGTCCCTGCAGATCTTTCTGCTGCGCTGCCGATGCTGCTGGTTTCTTCCACTCGTTGTTTTTTGTGTCACTCTGAGTAAAGCTCCTTGTCCTTTTGTGAGCAGCTGGGGAAGCTCTGCAGAGAACTTCATGCTGTTTCCTGGGCTAATTGCTTGATACCTAAACCCGTGTGTTCTTGTTGGCAAGAGGATATAAAAGGCAGGATAGTGTGCAGTCATGTAAGCATTTGCTGCTGATAAATGCTTCTTAGTGAGGTTTCATTAGTATAGTTACATTCATGGCCTGTTAGCTATATCTGCAGAGGAGCTTGAGTGTGTTCATACTAGCAGATGTAAATGCAGAGCATTTTATAACCCAGGGATTCCTTCTGAAACATAGAAAATGACTTTTGCAGAAGAGATTCTCTTGTGGGGCCCGATCAGGGACAAATTGTGTGACTTTGCCCACAAATATCACTGATCGCATTGTGAGTCTTGCATAATTAGGGAATTGAAAGTGTTCACCTCACTGAATTATCAGTATGTATGGCAGTCTGTTCATAGTTATTGAATTTGATGTAACTTCAGACTGGATGTTTGTAGCTTTATGAATAATCATATACTGAAAGTATAAATCAGTGAAAGATTTTACAAAATGAAACACTTATCCATTGCCTAGGCTTCTCTCACTGTTGCTCTTCTATCCTCTTTGGGTAATGCAGAGGTTACCCAATAAGAAGATGCTTTGTTGACATTTTAAAACACAGTATTTAAACAACAACAAAGATGACGAACAAGCAACCTTGGCTTTAAAAGGACAAGAAGCCAACATGTGCTTCTTGCCATTTCTCCACACACTTTTATACACTTCTGTGTGATTCTCTAACCAAATAATAAAACTAGCAATAAAATGTAACCATTATATTATTTGTACATACTGTATCATAGCCATATTTCAGAGTTTGCAAAGTATTTTTGAAAGTTTGATTTGTATAAAATTTAACATATCTTAAAATTTAAAGAATTCTTGTATTGCCATGTAAATCTACTAGTGTGTTTGTTGCAGTCTGCTTTACTCTGCCAAGGCTCTTCAACAGCAGCAGTGGAGTTACCAGCTGAGCTCCTTTTGGGACTGGTGCTGCTCCTGCTGCTGCTTTGCTGCCCTGTGCGCGGCCAGGGAACCGAGCTGCTCTGTCATGGGGCACTAGGACGCTGCTGTCCTGCAGTGCTGCTGAACTGGCATGGCAAGTGAGTCGTGGGGTTTCTGTTCAACTGCCAGCTGCCCTTGTCACTGCAAAGGTAGGATGGGCTTGTGCTACGAATCTAACAAAATCAGATTGTGTTAAGTACACCAATAGCTTTTGCTTGACCTAGACTTTCTGGTAGCACTTTGCAACCTTAAAATGTTGCTCCCCAGCCAGCTCTTTTGCTTGTACATGTTGCTCTGCTGTGCTTGCTGTCATGTTCTCCCATACTTTCCTTCCAAAGTCTTGGTGCTGGGCACTAGCAGGCTTTTGCTGTTTGTTTTTATCCAGCACTGCAGAGGTACAAAAGTTGCAGATGCACTAAATACCTGTGGGGATCTACAGCAGGAAGGTGCTGGTGCTCACACAGGGGAGCTCTGCACTTGGAGCCCAAGGGCCGTGTCATGGGAGGTGAAGCAGGAGAGGCCTCCTGCTCTCCTCCCTGGGCTTCCCCCACCTGCACACAGGCTCTTGAGCCCCCAGATGGGCTGGGGCCAAACATTTTTGAGCCCCTTGAATGCACGTAATGGCCCGTGGCCCTTCTGCTGGTGGGGGAGAGCCTGTGAGTTCCTGTGCGAGGAGAAGGTGCAAAGTCTGGACTGGGAGGAACTGGGGGCAGCGAAAAGAGTGGTGGGCTAACCTGTGACAATGGGAGGTGACATGGAAATGTGGCACCCTCGCAGATGGCCCTAAAGGCTTGCAGCTTTCCAGCCAGCGCTGTGCCTGTCCCTGGGGGCTGCTTCTTGCTGCTGCCCCTTCCCTCTGGGGCAGAGGTGCTGGCACCAAGGGGCAGCTGCGAGGGGAGACCTCCCAGAGCCGCTTTGTGGGGGGAATAGGGAAAAGCGCCGGCCCGGGGCCTGCTGCTAGCTGCAGTTCTTGGTTTTGTTCATCGCACACTCGTGCTCATTCCCTTTGGAGTGTTATTTATCAGTCTGCGCTTTCTTTTGTCTCTTTCAAAGACTCCCTCCTCCGGATTGTGCCCTTTGCTTAGTTTTTACCTCCCTGTGCAGCACCTCCTCCAACCAAAGCTCTGTATCCTTGGGAGACAGCAGCTTCGGGGACTGGTGTAACAAAAGCTGCATTTATTATTATTATTATTTTTTAAAGCAACTGCACTCCACACACTTTATCATGTAACGCGACTTTAATTTATCACAATAAAATCTCGTTTTTAGTGAGCGGCTTGCGTTTTTAATTTTTTTTTGGGCCGGGGCCGGGCGAGGCGGCGCTGGAGGAAAACCCCTTCTACGGCAAGTACCGCCACAAGATCCAGGAGCTGCGCAGGTGCGTGGTGCTCCTCGGGGAGAGGAAGGTGGTTGTGGAGCGCTGGGACGAGGTTGGAGGGATGGGCCTGGAGCGGGGAGAGGAGGGAAGGGGGTGGCTGACTTCAGCCTTGTGCCTTTATCCGGAAAATAATCCCAGCGCAGACCGAGCGCTGCCTCGGGTTTCCTTCACTAGCCGCGGCAATACGCGAGCTGTGTGGAAAAGGAGCAGGGAATTCCAGTCAAAACTGCGGGAGGTATTTTTAAAGCGGCAATCGATGTTAGTCGGCGTTATTAGCAGCCTCTTTCCCGATTCAGATCCAGTCCAGATGTGTTTGAATCCCGCCTGGAGAAAAGAAATGAAGTGAAAAAGCAGCCGGTGGGGTATTCCAAGCAAGCTGAATTTATCAAGAGCATGGATGAAAAGGCAAGACCAATATTCTATGCAATTCACACATGTTGAAGTTATAGTTTTGTCATTTATGCTGAATCTGCATCACGCTGTGAGTACACAACATTCCACCTGGTAACAAGCCATGTTTCACTCTCTGGTGCCTAAAAATATCATTTTGTATTTAACATATTATTTTGCTATTTTTTAAGTTGGAGATTCTATGCTTGAGCCTTGTTTAATAATTTAATCTATTCCAGATTAGTTTGGGTAGATGCAGTGACATGGTCTTGCTTTTATCCTGTAGAAAATGGAAAACAAACGCTCAATAGTGCTGGGTCCAGAATGCTTCATGACCTTGTAATCCATAGTTCTCATGAAGTTACTCTTTTATTTGCTATCAGTAATATGTTTTAGTAAAACAAATTTCAAGTATTTTTATCTCAAAGATGAGCTCATATTTCAAAAATGTTATCGGTGCACATGCTGTGCGTGTCTGGAAAGGCAATTAAAATTTGGTGTTAGAGTGTTAGTTATGAAAACTAAAAACACATTTTCTTCTAGGCAGAAGCCCTGGGCACAAAGACATCAAAGGGGCAATTCACGAAAGATAAGGTAAGGCAAATTAACCTGAGTTTTAAGAAAGAGCATACTACCAAGCATGCGTGTTAACTTGGATTGCTACTACCAAGAGTTTCTTGAAATAGAGAATTAATGTTCCTTATTCTGTACTTCATTGTAATGTTTTGTGTAGTGTTGGAGTCATGTTCAAGTTTGAAAACTTCTGTCACTCCAGGCTCTTCTTACCTGGTCCTTTCTCTCTGAAATTCTGGAAGTTCCTACTACTTGGGAAATCTGTACTGAATGCACGTAGTAATAAATTAAGAAAGGTTGAGCTGCTTTTACCACATATAGACCCGTTTCCAAAGTTCAGCCAGCAGAGGGACAGGAGAGTGGTTTTATTCTCAGTAACATTTTTGGTTTTCATCACACTTTTTGTGTAAAGCTGCCAACAGAGCTTATGTCTGAAATGGCTGAAGGAGAAAGGCTGCAGTTCATCTTGCAGCTGCTGTTAGAGAACTGCAGTATTGGAGCAAAGTGTATTATGTACCCTGAGAGAATTTTTTGCATCCTTCAGTGCATGAATTCAGTCTTCAGTGTGCTAGTATTTGTGATTTACCAATTTCTTTGGTGCTTAGGAGTATTCAGATACAGTGTGAATTGCTGTGAAATGCTCCCACGTTTTGTTTTTGCTCCTTGTGATCGCACCCATTCATTTTGCGTTCTCACATGAACCAGAAAACATGTCCTTATGCCAGATTTCTTATGCCTTGTCTTGCAGACACTTGATTCAATTCTTCATGTTGAGATGGTGAAAGAAAAATCAGCAGAGGAAATCAAACAGGTATCGGATTTAATGGAAAGAAGCTGGTTCTGCCTCTGTACAAATGAAACATGGATATGGCTGTATATTTTCAAGAAACACATTCATATGCAGGCCTGTTTGAAGGTTAGCAGGCAGGTGGGGGGAGATCCTGATAGTGGCAAGGATCTTACTGGCAGCAGCATGCCCACTGGAGCCTCCTCTCAGGGCTTCTGGAGCAGAATCCTAGCTGTTTTCTTGATAATGTGACAGAATCGATTTTCTGCTCTGCAGAGGATGGTGTCAGTCCAGTTATAGCAGGAAGCATTTGGTAACTTCTAAGTTTCTTTCCACCTCCTAAGTTTCTGAGAATTCTCATCAGTTATATAGGGCTAAAAAAGTCTTACGCTCTGGATTTTTACTCCTACTTGTGTATTTATTAAGGACTTTGTGGAACCTTTATATAGATACAGACAACTCCTATGGGAGGAAAAAGATTATGTGAACGCACTCGTTACACAAATGCCCGTATTCTTCATACATATTTAAAAAAAAAAACCCAAAGCAGTCCAAAGGTCATTAGCGTGGTGTGAAAAATGCCAGAGTACTTCTCATAGCCAATAAACCTGGAGCACCCTCTGAGCTGGCTGCTGTTTCTGTTGGCTGTTGAAGTCTGGCATGAGTACTAGGGAATGACAGTGAAAGTCTAGTGCATTGGCAGGAAAGTCAGTCAAGATTGATTAAAAATGGATGAAAAATGGACTGTTAAAGTGCTTGCCGTCAAAGATTAGTTCATAAGTGGAATTCTTTTTAAAGCATGTCATATTATTTCTGGATGTGCGATGTTAATTTCTGCGTTTTTAATTTTGATTTTCTTTCTTTCTAACAGATTTGGAATCAGTATTTTTCTGCAAAAGACACAGTTTATGCTGTTATTCCTGTAAGTAATTTCTGTTTCACTTACGCACTCTAGATTCCAGTTTAAAAAAAACAAACAAACAAACACACTCCTTTTTAGCTGTGATTCTGTTGCTTTTAAGGTAATCATTGAAAGAAAATGAGGTTCCATGAGCTAACTAACCTGACCTAAATAAAGCTAATACTTCTTTCTGAACACCTGCCCTGGTTTTCAGGCTTTTTTTTTTGAACATCCAAGACTCTTTGCAGGGTTCGGCTATCTTCTGAGGAAACATTCATGTTTCCATATCATTTCTTTCCCGAGTTGCTTCTTTTTGACCTTTATTTTTGATCTTTGCTCTACAGCAAAGGCTACTAGCATAGACCTTTAATATAGCAGTGTTAGAACACTTGCTTAGTAGTTCATGAGTTAATTTATTTAAAATTATTGATGTCACTATCTTTCATTGAGATTGTATGATGCTTTCCAAGATCACATTTCTTATTCTTGATAACTTCAAAAATTGTTATTTGTTGTAAATAAAAGGCTGAAGGGCTTTTTTCATTTTGCCTTTTTTGGTTGTTTTTTCATTTTTATTTATTATAAGTGGCTGCTAACTCCTTAGAATTTTTTTTCTCATTGACAGCATTCTCAAAGATGACACACAGAGTTATACAGAACTCAGTTGCTATTTGAACATCAGACTCCAGTTAAGATGGTGGAGGTCTTAAATTAGTGTTTTGCTGCACTATTTTTCAGAGAAGCTTTGGAAGCTTCTAAGATTTTAATGCAAACCAGATCTTGAGTAAGATGAGAATTAGTTCATGGTGTCATCTAGGGAAGAAACTGCCTGTCTTCTGCCAGAAGCTTTTTTATTGATTGGAAGAATGGGCTGGTCTAGTTCTCTAGTGCTCAGAGCACACACGGAGGAGTTCTGTGTTGATGAATAGCGTCTGTTTTCTTCCCTGAACACCTCATGCCAGGAATTAATTTATGGTTTTGGGAAGGGAAGAGCAGGCAAGGAATTTGGGGGAGCACAGAGGTGATGGGAGTGAGATTGCCAGTTTTCATCAGCGTTACCAAGTTATGTTTGTGGTTTTAATATAAACCTAACCAGTAAATATGTAGTTCAGGTTAGTACTGGAACTGCATTGTAATGCTGAAGAACAGATGACTTTCTGGTGTAAAGTGCATGATTTGGGGCCAGGGATATATTATCTGGCTCAACTGTAGACACAAACGTGCTGCTAGGGAGCTAGTACAAAAAGATGTAAGCCTAAAATGTGGGCCTCCCACCCTCCAAGGAGTCTATGCTTTGGATTCCTGGAGTTTGCTGCTGCCTCTTAAGGACAGCGTTGTTAAAACGGGTAACGAAGAGCTAAATATATTTTTCCGTGTACTCCTTGTTGACTGTTTCCACAGTGAGACCTTTAGATAGATACAAGTTGTACCCTACTGTGGTTAATGAGATGCTTCTGAATGATGACTGTGCGCGCCCTTCAGTGTTATGGAAAGTTAATTTCTTTCTTTTCCTCAAAGGCAGAGAAATTTGATTTGTTATGGAAGCGAGCCCAGAAATGTCCCTCTGTAAGTATGGTGGAAACTTACAAAGTGTGTATGTGTAACTGCCTTAAATTTCTCATGTCTAAAGCCTAATTCATAAACTTTTGACCCTGAACTGTTCTGACTTACATGTTGGTTTGATTAATAAAAGCCAGGTGTTCAAATATTCACAGAATCACAGAATGGTTAAGGTTGGAAGGGGCATATTAACATGTTGGGGAAGGGACATAAGAACATACTGTCTCAGTGTTCAGATAAAAGCAATGTTATTTGTAGATGTCAAGTGGTTTGATCTCGATGTAAGATGCTTAGGGTTCAGAAACTAGAGAATAGGCAATGGATTTAGCTACACACCTCTGGTTTCTAGAATTAATGTCCTGTGGTTAAACCTCTTGCATGCAGTGGTGTGAAGAGCCAAACCTGGAAGGTCAAATTCACTGATGCTCTTGAAGATTTTCCCTACTGCTTAAAGCATCCTTGCTGTGATCAGCCAGGGATCAAGTTAAATCTAACTTGATCACAGCCAGTTTGCTTTGCTTTTGTTTTGTTTTCTGACTGAATATGGCCTTGTGTGTCCCACACATGGAGCCTGTGTCCATGACAGGCTTTGCTCAGGGCTGCTGAAGGGCAGCCTGGAGGAGCTGTTGCTTAGCTATAGCTGAAGTGTCACCACTGCTTCTCTGCACCTGATAAGAGACCTTGGGGGCTGGAATAAGCACAGATTTAAAATAAACCTTGTACTGCACCCAAATCACAGCTCTGTCACAGTGGATGTCTACAAAGGGACA